CACAAACCTCAGAATCACTAGAATCTTTCTGGCACAAAATTCAAAACAGTATTATCTCTGCTGCTATACAACATATTCTAAATAAAAAAATCACTATCAGAAATTTTCAAAATATCTTCTCTACAAAAGCATTATCTTTATACTAACATCTTAAGAAATTAGAAAATATTATTAAACAAGTCAAATACTCACTAAAAAACTCTACTCCTATACAGGTAAAATGAATATCTGTATAGTATACATAACCTGATCAGTCTGATATGGGGATGTACAATATCTATCTAAAAACCATACCATACTTATTAGCTATTATATATAATAACTGGTTAGTATGGTATGGTTTATAATTTAAAAAGCTATACCATACTAATCTTGTATTTAATTTTATATATTATTATACTGAATTAGTATAGTATGAGTTTTTAAATAAAAAACTGTACCAGACTAATCTGATTATTATATATTTTTTATAAATTTTGTTGTGTATATATGCATTTAAATTTTTATTTTATACGCCATATACTATACTTGGGATCTATTAAAAGTTTAAAGTTGGTAGAATGTAACAGACTCAGGTCTTGTATATGGCCATTTACAGTAGAATATAGACATTATTTTGAAGCCAGTATCAAGAAGCTATTTAAATCTCAAGGTATTGCTTAACATTTATTAATACTAGAAAACCAGTACTATTTTATAGACTGAAGCCTTAATTATCAAATCTTACAATTTGGATTTAAAAATACAATATATATATACAGTATTAACTTTTAAAATTACTCTTATAATAAATTCCCTAATAATAAATTAATAAAGAAAATAAAAATTGATTTTTCATTAAATCTTGTTATTATATATTTTAAAAGTTATCTACTATATTTTGAATTCTGAATCTAAATCAGGTCTAGTTAAACCAGGAGTTAAACATTTCTGAAATTTCATAGAGTATTGCTTGAAAGCTTTTACTTCACTTTCCTCAGCTTCAGTCAATAATTTATCAGTTTCGATCCTGGAAACAATATTACCAGATTGTATAGGTTAAATCTTTAACTTTTACTTCCTTCGTCTGATTGAAGCTACTAATATTCTTCATGATAACTATTATACTTTATTCAATCCACATCTACTAGTATTTATCTTACGCATTGCTTTTGCAACATTACTATCATGGTTTTCAATACCTTTATCATCCATGTTCACAGATTTTTTGATAATTACTAAGTGCACCTACTTCTATATATTGGATAAGTATCTCTCTTTTAATCTTGTTATTTTGGTTTTAACAAGCTTTTCTTATTAACTTTAATCACCTTCAGGATTTATATATATATCAAATAGATCATCTAATTCTACAATTCTTACAATCTTGTTTCTCTAATAATACAGTACATAGGTATTTTTAAATTAATGTTTTGTTTTTATCAAATACTATATTCATTTAGAGAATTCATACTGGAGATGAATTAATGCTTTATTTTTATTAACTTCGCTTTCTAGAGAATTTATAGATAAGTGAATTAATACTATAGTTTATTTATTTCTACATTTTTATGAAAATTTTATACTGGAGTAAATTAATATTTATTATTGCTTGATCAAAGACTTTATTGATAAAGCAAAGAAAAAACATATAGGAATAGGTTCGCTATCTTGAAGGCTCTTAATTGTGCTAAAGCTACTATCTTAAACAAAATCCTATACCTCTAAACTTTCGAACTCTAGTTCAAATGATTTCAAACTTGTTGTCCCTCAGGATCAACAGTTACTGGATACAGAAGATTGAGTTTATAATACCAGTATACACTTAATCGAGCCTGGTCCTTGTACTGCTAATGCAGTCTCAGAGCCAAACTTATTTGAACTGTGATATTATAAGCTTTTGTGATGGTTACTGCACTATTTCAAGCTGCAGAGTTACTTAACAACAGGTAGGTAGGGAGGGCTAATAGAGCCAGCCTTCACTAAGATGAGCAATAGCGAACAGAAGAATAACCAACTTTTACCTAAAAAACGATTCTTAAATAGCCCTTAACCTGACTAAGCATACCTACTATCCCTTCACTTACTATTCATATGACAATTATATTACTAACTTACTATTCATATGCATAATCATAATTGTTAAATGATACGTAGTACTATCCTTACTACCAGTTATTCGACATCTTAAGAAAACAATCATTATAACCAATTAAGAAAATCATATCATGGATTTATTCCTCACAATACCTGCATATAACAAGAAATAAATAATGAACATGATCATAAAAAGTTTATCACTAATTTTGTTATATATCGAAATCAAATTTTTGTTAATGCTAAAACAACATAAGTTTTAACACAGTTTTGAATAAACTTGAGTAATAAGAGAATTTAATTGTTACTTATTATATTGATTTAGAATTAGTTTAATCAATGATTAATTAAATTTGTTTTATTAAAGGATAATCAAATCTCAACCTTTATTTTTTTTTCTGTGTTGAGCAAGTTCTAATATTTTTTTTTTTTTTTGGTATTAAGGTGACCTCTTTGGTCTTTTGACTTTTATTAATCACTTATCAGTATTGTGGT